CAAGAAGCAGGGGCGCCTGGGTGACTCAGTTGGTTAAGCGACTGACTATTGGTTTCAGCTCAGGTCATGATCTCAGGGTTCCTGAACTTGAGCCCTGCATCAGGCTCCATGCTGGGCACCTGCTTGGGATTCTCTCTCTCCCTCCTTCTCTGTCCCTCCCCTGTTCAAACTCTCTCTCTCAAAATAAATAAATTTTTTAAAAATGCAAAAAAACACCCCCAAACCCTGGATTCTAAAACTACAAACATCAAAATATATGGTGCTAAATTCAATAAATAGATAAAACAAAAAATTTGCAAATGGACTTTAGAGATGAGCATGCACGATGTTCATTAGGGAATAATTTTAGGATCAATGCCTGTAAAAACAAAGGAAAGGAAACAGGACCGAGCAGAGGAGAAGTCAGCCTGTGCTAAGAGCCCAACAATATCCTTAGCCAAGCTATAGGTCACACAGGGGCTGGATGGCCCTTCAGAATGGTTGTGCACTGAGAGTAGTTGTGCACTGAGAAAAGTGTGTGGGCCTTTATACTGTATATTGCTCACTCCTTGGATGCAAACTGCTATGGAAGGAGGCGGAACCTTGGGTGAGGTCACTTTCTCTAGGGGAGGCACTCCCCAAAGCTGAGTCTGTCTTCTAGCAGCTGGGGATAAGTTCTTCATTCCTGAGGGTGTCTGGAAGGCACCTCCCAGTGCTGCCCACAGATCATAGCATATATGAAAAATTTAGAATCTGATGTAAGAGAGAAAAGAAAGCTTACTCAAAACTACTGCTGGAATAATCGATTATGAGAAAAATACACTTTAAGCCTTTGCCTTCTATTTTATCCTTACATTAGTTTCAGATTAAAGAATTAAATGGAAAAGAACACAAGAAATACAGCTAAATATTCATCAGACAGGAGAGGGGAAAAGTAAGGTAAAATAATGCTAAGGAAATGATAAATAGATTTGATTACATAAAAACAACACAAGGGGTACGTGGGTGGCTCAGCCAGACTCTTGATCTGAGCTCAGGTCTTGATCTCAGGGTCATGAGTTCAAGCCCTGCATTGGGCTCCACGCTAGGCATGAAGCCTACCTAAGAAAAGAGAGAGAGAGAAACCACAAAAACTTTATGTGAAACATTACACACAAAATTAAAAGGCAAACAACAAACTGGGAATATATTTGCAAAAAATGCAAATTTTTTTTATATGAAAAAAATGTTAGCAAGGACGTGGAGAAATTGGAGCCTTGTGCATTGTTGGTGAGAATGTAAAATGGTACAGCTGCTGTGGAAAATCCTGTGGCAGCCCCTCAAAATATGAAACATAAGACTACATATGATCCAGAAATTCTGCTTCTGGATATGTACTCAAAAGGATGGGAAACAGGGACTTGAAGAGATATTTGCACACCCACGTTCATAGCAGCGTCATTCACAACAGCTCAGAGGTGGAAACAACCTAAATGCCATCAACAGGTGAACAAGACAAACCAAATGTGGCAAATACATACAATGAAATATTATTCAGCCTGGAAAAGGAAGGGAATGCTGACACCTGCTGCAACATACCAACTTTCAGGATGGCTAAAGGCCAATGATGAACCTTGAGGACACAATGCTGAGTGGAAAAAGCCAGACATAAGAGGACAGGTATTGTGTGATTCCACTTATATGAGGGACTTATATGAGGGACCAACAATAGTCAAATACAGAGACAGAAAGCAGAGCAGTGGTTACCGGATGGGGCAGGGGCGATTGAGGAGTCACTGCGTAGTGGGTACGGAGTTTCTGTTCGGGATGATGGAAGAGCCCTGAAATGGGTGATGGTGAAGGCTGTACGACATTGTGAATGTACTTAACTGGACACTAGAAAGTGGCTAAAATGATCAATTTTATGTTATGTACATTTATCACCCATGAAAAAAGAGAAAAATAGCCCAACATTTCTACACTGAGATAAAGCAAAAGATGGAAAAGGGCAATTCACAAGACGACTACAATAAGATGACCTCTGGGTGCATAAGAATACTTAACTTCATAAGCAGCTTAAGGAGATATAAATGAAACGATCAAAGTAACATTTGTCATCTATAAAAGTTGAGAAATTATTTTATGTTGATATTTGATTATAGTGTTAGTATTATCACAGCAGTGTGAACATGCACAAACCTTCTGGCAAGTATCTTGCAAATTATGCCAAGGGTGTTTTAAATATTCATATTTGTTGACCCAAAGTGCACCTGTGAGGAGTGTACACTGAGGAAACAGCCGGAGATGCAGGCAGAGTCACCACTTGAGCAAAAGAACAGAGGAAGCGAGATCTTCACTTACCATGTTTGTGGCAAAGAATTCCAGGGAAACGGGAGAGCAAGTGCAGAGGACACAGGACTGGAGAATGCCGGGTGTGTTTGAGGAACAGCAAGGAGGCTAGTGTGCCTGGCTGATGTGGAGTGAGCAAGGGGCTGAGTGTTAGGAAATGAGGACAGAAAGTTAGAGGAGCCAGGTCAGGGAGGGCCTTGAAGGCCACAGTAAGGACTTTGGATTTTACTCTGAGTGACCTATGAAGCAGTTGGAAGGTTCCAAGCAGAGGCCATGAGCTAAGTTCTAAAAGGAGCACTGGCTGCTATTTGGAACAGAGTCCATTAAAGGCCAAGGACAGAGGAGGCACGGGGCAGTTAGAAGGTTATCAGAATATCCAGGCAAGAGAGGGTGATGGCTTGGACTTGAGAGATTCTATTTTGATGGCAGAGCTGGTGGATTGGATGAGATAAGGACAGGAGTCAGGCGACTCCACGGGTTTGATCTGAACAATAGGGTGAATGATGGTCCTGATGACTGGGATGAACAGCACTGGGGGAGACGGAGGTTTTTGGAGGATGGAATCCAGGGATTGACCGACAGTGAGGTGTCTGCTCCGTGGTCACATCAGCTTATTCTACGGAAGTCTGTAATCGTGTGTCTATTCCCTGTATCCCTTTATGTCCTTCGATGTTTCTTCCAGAAGACCCCATCTCTGGTCTGCAGCTTCACACAAAACGGAAAGGAGCAGAGAAACCATATGTTGACGACAAGGCACATTAACTTGTTCCAGGAGCTAACATTATCAGAATGGAGGAGAATGGAATCTCTACTGGGGTGAGGTATATAAGTGATGGGTCCCCATAATTATTCCATGAAGACTTGACTGGTAATTAACCTGAGGAGGAAAAATGAATTAATGGACAGTGAAAAACACTGACGAATCTGTTACCTAAGGTGTGTCCCAAAATTGCTGCCAATCGACATATGTGTTTTAAACTAAGGAATAAAATATTCTTAGAAGCCAATTTGTTGACAGTCTGTGTTGGGCTTTGCCCTGGAATTCAAATGTACTTTTACCCACTCTGCAAGAGTATCCAAAGTACTGAAAAAATTTATTCATATTGATAACCCCATACCTATACAGGTATTAGATTTAATCCTCTTTTTTATTTATCAGCTTACCCCACAATGTGGGCCCAATAAATAGGGCAGCTCTTATAATATTGTTGAGCACATAAGAAAATACGGAGCATGTTAATTATATCTGTGCGTTAACGTCCTTCTACGCGTGGTAGTGCCATGTCACAGGTCATGAGGGGGCAGAGCAGGTCTTTGGTGTCACCTACCAGTCAAAAAGACACAAAGTCAATTTTATTCTTCTGAATTTGGGCCCCAGCTTCAGAAAATAGCAACATCAAGAGGCACCTGAGTGGCTCAGCCGGTTAAATGGTTAAGTGTCCATGCTGAGCATGCAGCCTGCTTGGGAGTCTCTCGCTCTCTGCCCCTCCCCCACTCTGTCTAGCACACCAGTGCGCTCGCTCTTTCTCTCTCTCAAAATAAACATTAAGAAAAAAACAAAAAACAAAAAAAAAACAAAGTAGGACTCTTAGAATTACATAGTTTATCCATGTTGAAGAACAGCGCAATCACTGTTGAAATTAAGGTGACATTCAAAATGGCCATCACACTTCTACACGCGGGAGCCCTGAAAATGTGTGCAGCTGCTGTATCTCAGAAGACTCCCACTCGGTTGGTGGTAGCAGTTCTGAGGCTAATTGGTGGTGGCTGGGTCACAGGGCTATGTGCGAGCTGCAGGAGAGGCTTTGAATGCGATTATCTGGCTGTTTTAGCTCCAACTGGTATGGGGACCAGTCTTTGCCCTTCGTGATAAGGTACAGTGCAGGGAATCCTCCAAAAACAGAGGGGTTCAGATGCTTAATGGCCAAAACAAATGACCAATGTCAGCCGCATGTAACAGAAAATCCAGCTATCTTCTCATATAATAAGCAGCTCAGAGGGAGGCAGTTTAAGTCTGGGGCAGTGACTCAACAATGTCATTCTTTGTAACCTGTTGACATACTGCCTAATGGGTCCAAGGTGGTACCTTCAGCCAGCACATCTAGGTTCAAGACCAGAAGAAGAGGACAAGGCAAATCTTTTCTGAGAATCCTCAGCAGACATCCCCTTTGTCTCATTGACCAGACTTGTGTCATGAAGCCCGCCCTGGAAATGAGGGAAGTTAGAAAATTATCTAGCTGCCCCTCCACTCCCCAAAGTGGAATTTTGTAATAAGAAAAGAGGGGAAAAAAATAGAGTGAACAACAAGCACTGTTTGCTTCGATTAGCACTGAGCCTGAAAAGATGACTAGAATCGCCCACCTTCTCCCCATGTGTCTCTCTAATCTCATGTAGTCTCAAAGCCAACCTCATAGGGCAGGACTGCTCAGTCCCTGGCACAAGTGTGTGTGTGTGTGGGGGGGGGATGGGGAGGGGGTTGCTGTTGGAAGTTCTGGTCACTGGCTGCAGACAGTTCTGCTGAAGAGCCCCTAGCCTCCATTCTCCTCAACCTCTATGATGTCACATTGGAGCTTCTTTCCTTCCACCCTGGGCTGTGGCTTCCGAGGCTGCTGTGGCCATGGGGCTCCTGGAGCCAGCTGGGGCGAGGGAGCCTGGTGACTCTGATCTCCCCTGGGGGTGCAGGAGGTCCAGCCATGCCAGTCTTGAAGGACGCCATGCCCCTTATGAAGGAGCCCCATCCCCTGCCTCAGGCCCCGCTTCCCTGGATCCTCCCAAGCCTGTTTGCTGCCTTCAATGTGGTGCTGCTGGTAGTTCTCAGTGGCCTTTTCTTTGCGTTCCCGTGAGTCTCCCTCCCACACAAGCCACAGGTTTCCTACAGAGACAGAAAGGAAGATAGATAATGACAGTGCAGAGGAAGGGGAAGTGTGGAAGAGGGGCGAGAGAAGGGAGGATACTCTAGGCAGAGGGAATCGAAGGTGCAAAGGCACGGGTATATAGTGCTTGGTGCCTCTGGGAGCTGCAGGTGGCCCGTAACACTGGGTGACATTTGGTGGAGTCTCTAAAGATCTGTCACCAGCCTGGATATTTAGAGCAGGCTTCAAGGGGTTCAGAACCACTTGGGTTCTGACCAAGTGGACCAGGTTCAGAGAGAACTTCACCTCCCCACCCCCACCCCAGATCAGGGCTGAGCCCCGCTCTGGTCTCAGTTGCAGGTGGCTGGCCCAGAATGGGGAGTGGGCTTTTCCTCTTGTCACAGGCCTCCTCTGTGTCCTCACCTTCTTCAGTCTCGTTTCACTCAATTTCTCAGACCCGGGCATCTTGCATCAAGGTGAGGCATTGGTCCCTGGGAGAAGGATGTAACCTCTCCTGAAGGGCTCCTTCCATCTCCCCTCCTCGGGCCTCAGGACCCTTTCAATGCACATCCTCATTTTCCTAGGCCCTGCCTCTGGCACTTCATCGTCTAAGCCACGGAGATGTGGAAAACCAGATTTCTGGAGTTTTCCAGTTGCTTTGGGTGGGGGAAGAAGCCAGCCCTTTGAAACCACTCAGTTCTCCCTTCGTCCTTCCCACTGCACAAACTCCTTAAAGCATCAGTCACAGTTTCAAAGGGCTGAGTCCTCACAGAACACTTCTGGCTGGAAACTTACCTTCCCTTTGAATGCCAGCCTCTCTGTGCTTGGGCAGATTGCTCAGTGGGGAATAGGGATGCCCCTGCCCATCTCTTCCCCACACTTCCTGGAGCCCAGTAATGATAGGGAGCTGGCCTCCCTACCCCCGGAGCAGCAGACTGATGGAAGGCCCTCTTACTGCTGCCCAATCCTCTTCCTGTGACAGGCTCCAATGAACAGGGCCCCATGATGGTGCATGTGGTGTGGGTGAACCAGAGGGCCTTCCGTCTGCAATGGTGCCAAAAGTGCTGCTTCCACCGCCCGCCCCGGACCTACCACTGTCCCTGGTGCAACGTCTGTGTGGAAGTGAGTGCCCTTCTTGACTGCCCACCTGCCCCCACCCTGCCCCTGCCCAGGAGGCCCACCCACACCAGCTCCTGTGGCGGGTGTGAAACCACTTCCAGGATCGCTAAAGGCCA